TCGCATCTGCGTCCCACCCCCACACACCTGCTCCTGGGGCGGGTGTGGGAGGCAGCGGGACGGCGGCACCCCCCTCACCGATCCTGTTCACGCCTGGCCACCAGCGCGCTCACTGCCACCTGGGCACCCGGCCCACGCACCCGTACAGACAAGTGAGCGTGCGTCTCACAGACGGAAGCCCTGCTTCCGACTCACGTTTATGAAAACACAGAAGCATCTCAGCTTCTCCTAAAAATGATTCAGAATTTGCTTTTAAAACAACACAAAAAGGGACACCTGGGGGCTCAGTCAGTTAAGCATGGACTTCGGCTCAGGTTGTGATCTCACGGTTCGAGGCTTCGAGCCCCGTGTCGGGCTCTGTGCTGACAGCTCGGAGCCTGGAGCCTGTTTCAGATTCTGTGTCTCCCTCTGTCTCTGACCCTCCCCTGCTCATGCTCTGTCTTTCTCTAAAAAATAAAAATAAATAGAAACTTAAAACATGAAAAATATTTTGGGGGTGGGTTCCGGCATGCTTGGTTTTCCAGTGAACGGGATGTGGTTTGTGCCCTCGGATCGGGTGAGACAGATGGTAATTCCTCTCCAAGGTCAGCAGAAATCCTCCCGCTGTGACCTTCACCCCCACCGCCACCCCCACCCCCCGACCCTCACCCTACATCCCCCCGCCTCACCCCACCCCCACCCCACGTCACTTCACTCCCCTCCGGCCCCACCCCCACCCCACCAGGGCTCCCCTGTCCTGGGGCAGCATCTTCCCACTCGGCTCCTTTGCTCACTTCCTCCCTGACGACAGCGAGACCACTTCCTCGTGCAAAGGAACGGCCTCCCCCCTTGCACACTTGACACACGCTGTCTCTTTCCTGGAAGAACACACACCGGATCTCTGCAGGTTGCAAACCTTCTGGGTAAAAACTGGTCCACGTGTCCTCGGCCTCATGACGCGGCAGGTGGCCGGAAGCTGTGCGCACGGCAGCCCACGCCGTGCGCTGCGTGTGCCCCTGACACCAGCACAGGCGGGCGGGCCACATGGACCCCTGGGCCGAGCAGCAGAGGCCAGGAGAGAGCAAAGCACCGCCTAGAGCTGGGGTTCCCTTAACCTCGAGTCTATTCTTTCCCTGCAGAAAACAGTTTTCACACTTTAATAATATGGATTCTCTTATTTAATGGTTAATGCTTTGTATCTAGAGCTAGAAAACTCCTGTCTTAAAAGTGGATCAGATGGTAGTAAACTTGGAAACCAGCAGATCCTGAGTGAGCTGGAAACTGGCAGAGATCAGTATTTCCTGCACGGCTGGCCACTGGCCGGTGCCCGTGGGCGTCCCCCGTGCAGGGGACGGGGAAGACGGTCGGGGGCAGGCGTCCCCCATGGGGCTGTGCACCCGCGGAGCAGCCTCGAGAGGGGTCTTTGGTGAGCGCCTTGTGTTGGGGTCATGACACTTTCAGACAGAAAACACTGCAAACCGCCCTGTATCGGTGGGGGTCTGGTTCCGGGTGTGGGATTCCTTTTGTAGGTTATGATTCTTTGACTGTTTATGGGCTTCTCAACGTGAACACCACACCCAATAGTCTGTCCGCCTAGAATTTAACATATTGTCAGCAAAATGAAAATTTTAAACAGAGGCTCCTGTTTTCAGTGCACTAGACGGAGCGTCCCAGATTTGGGAGGATTTAAATAAATCTCTTGGCCTTCAGCAAAGCCTTTCATAAGGTAGCGAAGGACTCACACACCGTCCCCGCCCTCTGACCCTCACGGATCTGTTTACAAATGCAGATTCTGTGTTTTGTGCGCCGCGAGGCCCCACTGCACTCGGGGGCCACTGAACGGGGTGCGGCAGCCACTCCAGCCACGTCCGCTTGTGTCTCCACCGCTCGGGACAGACCACGGACGTGAGTTCTGCAAACTCCTCTCTCTGCTCACACTGCAGAAAACGGATTGTCTTCATCCTAACAAGCCAGGGCCACCACATCATACGACTGGCTTTACTTGATAAATCTGTCACTTCCCTGAATTTAGTTCTGGGCGTTTTTAAGCATCGGTTTGATTTCCTCACTGTCCGACTCCGGCTCCAGGCATCGCGGGCTTCTGAGCCCCTCCCTGGCTGGCTTCTCGTCCCGTCAAGGGACAGCGAGGTTCCCTCACGGGGCCCTCACGGACACCGTCACGATGTAGTACAACTAGAGAGCTTATTCGTGGCATCCATCCAGGATCCTGTGGGCTGGGGACAGCCACCGGGGCGAAGGGCTGCACGTGCCACCAGACGCAGCGCTGGGCCAATCGCGGGTCCCCAGCCGAGCCCGGTGGCTTCCAGGCAGGGGCTGCCTCCGTGCAGCCTCCCCATACAGAGCGGCCTCAGAATAAAACAGTTGAAAGGTTTTCAAACCCGCTGGAAGGACTAAAAGAAAATGTGCTAAAAAGAGGGGTTTTACCTGCGTCCAGACCCCACACAGAGCCCTGGGACTTCATTTCGGAAGGACCTGCCCCACACCCGATGCTTCCGAAACCCAGGACCCGTGGTCAGAAAGCGAGTGGTCACAGAAGGTAAGCGCTGTGAGCAAGCCCAGAGGCCAGCATGGAGGTCACCGAGCAGAAGTAGTTCCCTCCCAGGAGCGCCCAGGATCTGCGAAGCAGCGTTCGCGGAGCCCCTGGTGTGCCGTGGGTTCTGTGGACTCGTGGCCGGACCCCGCGGGGCCCCCGAGAGCCCTGGGCCAGCCTGAGCCCCGAAACCGCCTGGAGCCTCAGACAGGGGAGGGGGAGCGCAGCGAGTACCGAGCCATGTCCATCCCGGTGGAGCCCTGAGCACCCGGCTCTGCCCAAAGGCACGGGTGCGGCCGCCGCTCACTTCTGACCAGCCCGGCAGAGAACAGAAGTACCACGCGTGGGGTGGGACAGATTCCCTCCCTCGCTCGCGCTCCGCGTAGGGGTTAACCTTCCGAAGGCAATTGTTTTTTTTTTTTTTAATTTTTTTTTTTTTTTCTAGGAGAGAGAGACAGCGTGAGCAGGGGAGGGTCAGAGAGAGAGGGAGTCACAGACTGAAACCGGCTCCAGGCTCCGAGCTGGCAGTCAGCACAGAGCCCGACGCGGGGCTCGAACCCACGAACCGCAAGATCATGACCTAAGCGAAAGTCGGACGCTTAACCGACTAAGCCACCCAGGCGCCCCCGAAGGCAATTGTTTCTTGAAGAAGCCGGTGTCTGCACGGCTGTCCTGGAACTGGCCGGTGGGCCCCGGGAGGCGAGGCAGCGGTCCTGGGGCCTGGCCAGCGGGAGGCACCCCCGCCTCTCTCCTCCATCCCCCCTTGTCGTAGCAGAACGAACTCCTCCTTTGTTTCGGACGGTGTCACGTTCACAGATTCCCTTTAAAACAAGACTGTTTGTTGTGGCCTCGTGGGCTTCCGGAAACCGTAACCCTGACGGCGGCTGGCCGTCTTTTCCTTGAGTGAGTTTCTCAGTGGACCCAGCTGCCGGGCTCGCTGGGGGGCGTCCGGCTGGTCCAAAAGGGGAATCCCGTCCCCTTCCTATACAGGCCCTGATTTAACACATGGGGGAGTTCGCAGTGTCCCCGTCGCGTGGCCCTTTCCTAGCAGGACGGCCTGCTCGGGTTCCCGCGGTGGCCGCCAGGGCCAGGAGCTCCTGACAAGCCGAGCGCTGCCCCTGCAACCTCAGGAGATGATGGGGCGCCTGGGGGCTCAGTCGGCCAAGCGCCCGGCTTCAGCTCGGTTCATGATCCCGTGACCCCAGAGAGAGAGAGAGAGGTGCGCGTTCCCGTCATGTCCGCTCAAGGACGGGGAAGCAGAGACGGGGGTCGTGGACGTGGCCAGCCTCGGTGCCGGCCGGGCGGTGCCTCAGCCCCCGGGCCCTGGTCTGGGGGGACATACGGCCAGGTTGTCCGTCCATGCTGCTCCCCTCCGTGCAGATACATTTGGTTTGGATGTTTCCCCCAGGCCCTCCCTGCCCACCTTTCTCCCTCGATGCCCATCTCATCCTGCCGTCCATAAGCCATAGAACCACAGGACTTTAAAAATTCTAAGAACCTTAGAAGCTTTCAAGCTCATTGTCCTGGCTCTGTGCCTGGGGGGGTGCTGTGCACACTTGGGGGTACACACAGAGAGGGGGCCAGAGCAGCAGGGGCCTCTTGGCCCTTCCACCCGATGCCATCTGACTGCCAGTGATCGTGGCCACCTGCTCCGTGTGACCAGGGACGGGCTGTTCCATGCCCCTGCTAATGAGGTGCCGCTCGGGCTTTGGCACGTGGGTCCCAGTCCGCCTGGGAGGTGACCCCTGCCCCCTACTCCGTGCCCAGCATTTGTGTGTTGACGGATGCGTCTCAGCCCCTTAAACTGTAAGAAGCTTGCGGGCCCGGGAGCCAGCACTGCTCTGTCTCCTAGAAGTAGAAAAACAAGAAGACATATTGAGTTAACTCTAAGGTCAAAATTTCAAACTCATGATTTCTGTGAAGCCCAGATCACCTGACTCGAGACAGAGGTGGTCTGTGGGGAGGCGTCCCCACCAGACTCCGGCCGGTGAGGACATCTCCGCCTTGTCTCCCCGTTGGGAGCCCTCGCTGGGAGCTTCCACATTTAAAAGCCGATGTTAAGGTGGATAAGATTTACGGGTCTGATTTTTCATTACGCGAAATACAAAAAGATCCTATGCAATTGAAATTAAAACTTATGCGCATTCTCTTTCTAAAACATTCTCTAAAATGACACAAGAAAAGTCACATTTGAGTTCCTCATAGTGATGGCTGCTGCCAGGATCTGTCTGGGCTTCTGACAACGGTTTTTCAGCCCAGCTTTCCTCAATCGATGCTAATGAAAACCGCCTTGCCTTATTTTTCTCTCTGAGCACCGAAATCGCAGCTGCCTGCCGGGCCGGCTGAGGAATGAGTGTAATCATTTTCCACGGGCCTGTGAGCCCGAAGGGGCCCCGACGCCGGAGAGGGACCGCGGAGCGCACCGCCTGGTGTTGGAACTCACCCGATCTGCGCTGGTTGTTTCTTGCAGGCGCGAAGGAGATTGATATCGCCGCGACCCTGGAGCACTTGAGGGACCAGAGGCCCGGCATGGTCCAGACAAAGGTACTGCGGGCGGGTCCTCGGGGACTGCGAGGGCGGCAGGGGCGTCTCTCCCCAGCTGTTTCCGAGAGAGGGCAGAGGGGAAGGGGACTGGACGCCCCCCACACAGGTCCTGGGTGGACAGGGGCCCCTCGCAGGAGGGTCACCTGGGGTCCCCGCCACCGGCCACGTCTCCCCAGAAGCAGATGCAGGCAGCTCCCCGGTGGGAGCCCTCCCCGCACCAGATGTAGGGAAGGGAGGACATTACAAGGACGTCCCTGATAAACCCAATCACCCTTGCAGGGGAATGTTCTAGATTACTAAACATTCTGCCCGACTCCCCTATTCCGCCCCGCAGGCCCACAGCTCTGTTGTGTGGTCATCAAAGCTCCCCGCGGGGGGGGTTGGGGTCCTCAAGCGCCTCAACTCCCCCAATTTGCATTCGACAAGAGTAAGGACGGGTAGCTGCCCGAGCTAGAAACAAGGTTAATACAACAGTCCATGCCGCTGGCGTTCGGAAACATGCGTGTGCAGCAAGGGCAGAAGCGCCCACGCCCCTCCGTGAGCGTTCTGAAGTCGTGAAGTAGGAGCCTTCTCCCCCTCACGGTCGGCCTCACTCAGAGCCCATTAGCACCTCCGCAAAAGAGCCAACAAACTGCTGCTTTGTACCTAGGAGGACTTGAAGTTGTAAAAAGCACTCATGAAATGGAGGCGGCCCGAGGGTTGAGCTCTGTGCCTGGTGGTGACGGTTCTGGGACTGGAGGGCGGCCACCCTGCCCCCCGGGGCCCCAGTGTCTCCCCCAGAAAGTGCCAGCTGTCCCCGGGCCCCCGTTCTGTCTGAATGTCACTGCACAAATCAGACGTCACACACGGTCGGAGCGGGAGCGGGGGGGGGGGGGGGGGGGGGGTGGTCTCTAAATCCCAAGCACTCTGTTGAGAACCCAGAAGCCACGTGCCTCTAAGACTCAGCTGAACACACTTGGAGCTGGAAGATTTCCTAAAATACCTCAAGAGGGCCACCGGGCTGGTTCTTCACGACCAAAGCCAACCCCAAACACGGAGGCAAAGTTAGCTTCATTCCACAGAACCACAGACCTGCTCCACACAGAACCAGAAGCCTCATAACGACCCCTGAACCCCCCCGCGTGCCCTGCCCCAGCAGCCCCCGCCCCAGCCGGTGACCTCCGCCCAGGCGCCGGCCCCATGCACACTCGGCCCCTGTCCCTATGTGGCCCCCGGGATTGTGACGAGAGCCTCGTGATCAGTGTGAAGAGACCTAATTAGTCACGGCACACCTTATTTTCCTAGGGGTGTTTTCTGTTTGACATTCTGAAACTATTTCAGGTCTGCAAACCACCAGCTGAAACAATACAGACGGTTCTCTGTGGCCCTCGGTCCCGCTGCCGGCACCTTCCGTGAGCACAGTGCAGGCCAGCGGGCGGGCGTCCACATGGGCCGCGCACCCAGGGGCAGACCTGACCTTGTCCCGCTCCTCCGTGTCCCCAGCGACCTTTCCCTGGAGCAGGGCCGCCCACCGAAGCGTTCAGTGGCCACGTTTCCCTCCACTCGCCAAGTGGGACCGCCTCGCGGCCTTGAGAGGTCTCAGAAGGAGAGCTGGCCAGTGTGGTTCGCCTTCTGTGGACTGTCTCTTGCTTGGGGTTCTCTGATTTCCTGCGCCTCCTGTGGTGGTTCCAGGTGCGCTTCCTGGGCAGGGACACCCCAGGCGGAGGCACGTGACCCCGCCGAGCTACCTTCTGGAAGCTTCCGTCGCTGGCTTCGGGGCAGGGGGGTGTCTGCCAGCTAATGAGCAGGCGTTGTTTGCGTCCTGTCTTGTCCTGCTTTATCACATGTCGCAGGGATACTGTCCCGGTGACAAGCAGCCTGCTGGCCTTCTGCGCGGGGAAGGTCCCTCCTGCCTGCCTGGCCGTGCTGCTCGGTGGTGGCCTCGCGACGTCCCAAAGCGCAGGGTCAGTTCTCCGTCCCGGGGTGGCCTGGCCCCACGTCGTGGCTCAGGACGAGGCCAGGAGAGCAGCAGCACTCGATGCCAGGAGCGGAGAGCAGGTGTGCCTCGCCTTGCGCGGTTTCCTGCTGTACAGAGAACCTGCTGGAAATCCCAAATTCAATCCATACCTCCCCCACCCCAGGCGGCGCAAGGATGCCCCAAACACAGACTCCGGGCAGATCTAGGCAAAAAAATCATGGGGAAGGTGCCAAACCAGCACCAAAACCATTCGGCCTTCCTGTCTGTGTCCTGTTTGCCAAAACAGGCGCCAGAGCCAGTTCCAGATGGCCCGAAGGAAAGACGAAGCTTTACTGTGGATTCACAAACTCATGCACGCTCTCATCTCCTAAGCCGCAGAACACGCGCGCTGCCCTTCCGGCCGGATTCCATGGCTCTGACTCTGATGCTCCCAGACAGGGGACGCTGCGCCTCCTGCTGGACGGACCGTCTGCAGGCACTGACCCTCCTCCTTCGGGCGGGGACTTAAAAGCCTCTTGAAGAGTGCGTAAATTCGGTTCCTGGAATTTATAAACGCGTCAAAGCCACCATCCTGCCTTTATGATGGTTTTGCCCAACATTACCCCCTGAAACTGACTCTTAACAGTCCAGCTTAACAAAAGGAAACTTCCGTGGGAAGAAGAGCGCATAGAGCCAGAGCGCTTTCCCCCAGAAGCCAAGAGAAGGCCGTCTGCGGGCTGCTCCCTCCAACTCGCCTAGTCAGATCGCCCCGCTCGAGCCGAACCCAAGAACAGATGTGAGCCCTGGAGACCAGGGCCGAGGACACAGCACCATTTCTACGTCCAGATGAGCCACAGGCAGCTGACTCCACCTGGAAGCAAACCCCCAGTCAAAGTGCGGCCCCCAATGCACACCCGCCGGAGGACACGGCCTGGGCCACGGAGTTGGTGCCTGCCACGGGGACCACACCGGGAACCCGTGAGAAACCAGCAGAAAGGAGTGTCACAGTCGCCGTCAGCACACGTTGGTCACAAGCACAATACAACACCTGCTTCTCAAGAGGGGTGAAGCCGGGCCTGACAAGGTGGGCGGCCTGTCCTCTGGGCTCCGGGTGTGTCAGGGACCTTCTCCCCTGCTTCCCCTCAGGGCATCCTGAGACAAGTGCCTCGTTAACCAGGGGCCTGAACAGTCCCCATAATCGAATGTTCTCTTTCACGTTGGTCACTTTTAAGAGTAAAAGCCAGTTGACCGGTGTGTCCAGCCACCAGGAAGCGGTGTTGGGTCCGCCCAGGCAGGTTGCGTGTGCGGTGCACACCTGTGGCGCCACATGCCCCCTTCCCTACCTGGCTCTTTTCTGCATTTTTATTTCACACCATCCATTTTCCCTCCACAAGCCTGTGTCCCGCATCCCCTGACTCCCCTTCCTCCTGGAGACCGGGCCGCCGACCAGCACGTGCTCGCGTCCCCCCGCGGCGCTCAGGGTCTGGAGCAGCGAGCGGGGTGGAATTAAGTGTCACCCAGTTCACAGCCCGGGGCCCCCCACATCCTGCTCCAGCACAGCCTCCTCGTGGCCTTGAGATGGTTTCCCCTGACCCTCTGTGTCTCTGTCTCCCCCAGTGCACACACGTACACACGTGCATGCCTACCCATGTGTGCACACATACACATGTACACGTGTGTGCCTACACATGTGCATGCACACATATACTTGTGCATGCCTGCCCACGTGTGCACACACGTGTACACGTGTGTGCCTACACATGTGCGTGCACACATATACTTGTGCATGCCTACCCATGTGTGCACATATATACATGCACGTTGTATGTGCCTACACATGTGCATGCACACACATATACTTGTGCATGCCTACACATGTGTGCACACATACACATGCACATTGGGTGTGCCTACACACGTACATGCACACACATATACTTGTGCATGCCTATACACGTGTGCACACATACACATGTACCTTTTGCATGCCCACACACGTGCACACATACACATGTACACGTGTGTGCCTGCACACGTGCGTGCACACACATATACTTGTGCATGCCTACACACATGTGCACACATACACATGTACACACGTGTGTGCCTACACATATGCGTGCACACATATACTTGTGCGTGCCTGCCCACATGTGCACACATACACATGTACCTTGTGCGTGCCTACACACATGCGTGCACACACGTAAACACGTACCCGTGCACGCACACGCACACATACGCACATGCACTCTGTCCCTCACCTGCTCTGGTGGGAGAGACCGAGGAGGGAGCCAGGGCTGGGCTCTGTGAAGAGGAGCTGAGCCGAGGACACGGAAGGCATTGTGTCCTGCCCCCCCTTACAGAGGCGCGGGGGGCGCTGCCCGGAGGGTAACAGCCACTGACCGGCACAGCCGTTCGCTGGCCTCTCTGAGCCACAGGGATCACAAACACCAGTCGAACTATAAAGGCAAACTCACGCGCAGCCCTGTCGACCCTCACAGCCGCCGGCAAAGTGCATCAGATGCCGCAGCCACCCAGCTTGTCTGCTAGGATCCCCCCAACCCCCACCAGCCGAGGCAGCTCCCCGAAATGTGGGTGCGTGCCCGGTGCCCCCACGGCAGGGTGAGGAGCTGGCACCAAAGCCACGTCGGGGCTGCCGCCCACGGACACTTGCAGGAAGGAGCAGGCGGCTGGCGAGCCTGCCCCGTCGCCGACCGGCCCCGCAGAGCCCCGCACGCCTCTCCCCAGGCCCCTGGCCACAGGTCCCCGCGGCCTGCCAGCTGATGCTCCTGCGCACGGGACGCGTGGCCGGTACTGTAACAACTGGAGCCACACCTGCTGCCAGCGTGTCACGTGTCCTCCGGCCCTTCGTCCCGTGGACACCGAGTCTCTTGATGATTAAAATCAAGGCTCAAGTGCGGGTCTGCACCCTGCGTTTGTCACGTGAGCCTGCAGCACACGCGTCACCTTCCTACCTGATTCTCCTGACGGCGGCAGCGGATCCCAAAGGCATGAAGTCACAGCTTCCCGCTTGTCCGCTGCCCCCTGTACAGCTCACATCCAGGGACGGATTTTCAAGGTGTCAGAGCGACAGACAGGCACGGGACGCGGCACGTGAGAGTTCCAAAGAGGCTCCCTTCATTTTGTAATGGTTCAAGTCATCACGGAACCGTGATCGACCCATTGGCAAGTCCGCATTCGGGGAAGAAATGCTCTGGCTGTTGGTGCATAATGAACGTGCGTTTTCCAACGACACGTCCGCTTGACCAAGCTGTCAGCGGGAGAGACGGTGACAGCCAGAGCCTGAGCAGGGGTCCCCAGCGGCCCATCCCCCGGGGTCTGGAGGGAAGGAGGGCAGTGGTGCTGGAGGCCACTGCGCACAGGCCGTGCCTGCTGTGGGTCTGGCCGAAGCAGCCGCTGGGCACAGCTATGAAATCCACGGGAAACGTCCTCAGCAGCAGCTTCCAGCATGGGCATCCCAAGGCTGTGTGCCCACTGGCACATGTTAGCACACACAGCTCACTCCTCCCACGCCAGTGCAAGAACACCGAGGGACACACTGCCTTTTGTCCCAGAGTGAGCGCTAAGCTATCCCACCTTTCTGGTGTTTCTGCTGCGTTGGGGACCCTCCAGCTGGAAATCGGTCATTATTTTTGGATTTGGAGTGATGCTGCCGCTTGAATTATCAAGTGTTGAAGCCATCAGGAGGGTTTCCCTATGTAAATCCAAAGTTCTGGGCAGGTGATGGCGCCTCAGGTGTCACTCCTGGGCTTCTGCGGCCACCTCAGGGTCTCCTGAGCAGCCTTGAAGGTCTCGTGCAGCCAGGGGAGTGTGCAGGGGGAGGGGCCATGACCGCGTGCAGGGATGGGCATGGACAAAGGACAGAAAAGTCCTGGAAACGCCCCATTTCTACCTCACAGTCTTGGCAGGTTACAGGGGTCAGAGGGTGACCTCCGCCCAGTGCACGCACCTGTGCCTGGGAGCACGCGCGTGCACACACACTCCAGGCGGGACACACTGTGGGGGCGGAGGGCCTGGCAGCTGGGACACGGCGTGCTGGGCTGGATGACCGGCTGACCCCCAGGACAGTGAGGACACACTGGGAAGGAAGCCGGGGAGGCAGAGGGCCGGCTGGTTCCTCCGCAGGTGCGCACGCGGTGGGTGTGGAGGCTGGAGCCCGGAGTGGCTGGCGGCCCGCACCCCAGCCCGCACCCCGGTCCGCACCCCGGTCCGCACCCGGGTCCACACCCCGGCCCGCACCCGGGTCCACACCCAGGCCCGCACCCGGGTCCGCACCCCGGCCCGCACCCCGGCCCGCACCCGGGTCCGCACCCCGGCCCGCACCCCGGCCCGCACCCCGGCCCGCACCCCGGCCCGCACCCGGGTCCACACCCCGGCCCGCACCCCGGGCCGCACCCCGGCCCAAACCCCGGCCCGCACCCCGGTCCAAACCCCGGCCCGCACCCTGGCCCGCACCCGGGTCCACACCTAGGCCCACACCCCGGCCCATGCCGTCAGAGGGGCTGGGCTGGGGCTCCTGCTGGCTGCTGTGGGGGCAGCTCCTCCCCCAGATAAAAGGATAAACTATGAGCTTTTCCACTGGAGAAATTCTGATCATTGTCACCATGGGGCCTTGGGGTTTACGTATGCAAACCAACGTACCCTCCTTTCCATGGAAATGTGTGACCTTTTGGGTTTTTATGAACAATCTCTTTCTGCAGAGTAACAGCGGAGCTGAGGGCCCGCTCACGGCCTCCCCCGCCTTTCTCGTCCTTCCAGGGCCAGTTCGAGTTTGCGCTGACGGCCGTGGCGGAGGAGGTCAACGCCATCCTCAGGGCCCTCCCGCAGTGAGCAGGCTGGGAGGCGCCCGCACCGGAACGATGGTGACGAGTCTTCGGTAACTGCCCGGTCAGTGCGGTCGGTGCAGTTTACCGGTTAAAATGTGCATTTTCGTTCAACCAAATCACAGTAAGGAGAGATTTGTGGAATCATCCAATTACACGGGGCAATCACTTTATCTGGTCTTTACTTTCCTGAAAGAAAACCCTTTTCCTTAAAGCACACGTTCACTTCCTAACTGCAAACAGCATCGTCCTGACGAGGCAGCGATCTTCACACTCCGCTCGGGCTCCGACAGCTGGCTTGTGACCTGCGGGTCCGGACGGCGGCCGGCTCCGCAGGGAGGGGCCACGCCACGCTGCCAGGCCACTGAGGGAAGGCCAGCAGGCGCAGCAAACACACGTGGCATCTGTCCCCGAGCTGCTCATCACCGGCGGGAGCCACTGGCTTCTCCCGGAGTCGGAGCAACAGTTACCAATGCTCAGCAGCTTCAGGGCAGATGATAAAGTCGTCGCCGCATCTCCGCGTCTCTGTTGTGTCCCCACGCCCTCCCCACCGCTGTCCACAGCCTGTCTCTCCCACCCACACCCCAGGGACGGGAGGGGACAGCCGCTTTCGCGCCTGGGGAGCGCCCACCTCCCTGGCCGCCCCAGGTGACGCCTCACCCTGACAAGCAATCCAGAGACTCATTGTTCCCTTTAAAGTGTGGATGAACGTGGCCCGCGCTCCCTCGGGACACCGGGGTCGGGCCAGCCTGGCAGGTCACAGCTCCCAGTCCCCTAGGAGCGCGCTAGCCCCCCCCTCAGGGGATGCCCCCCCCCCCCCCCGCCACCGGAGAGCGCCGCGAGAAGGAGCGGCGGGCTGACGCGCACTTTCGCCTGCGGGAGGTCACAGCAGCAGGGAGCCAAGTGGCAACAGCAGTGCAGTGTGGGCCGCAGGCCTCCTCCCCGTCATCGGACCCCCGTCGCCTAGGTCGGACCCTCATGTGGCTCGCGCACACACAGGCGTCCAGAGGTGGTCCGGGTTTGCCGAGGTAACACTGGGCCGTCAGGCCTGGACACGGGGTTCTGCTGCTGAGCCGCGAGCGGTGGAGCGCAGGACGGCCCGCGGACAGCTCGGACGCGCCGGCTCCAGCCAGGACCGGGTGCGGGCTCGGCCCAGTCCCTTCCACGCCCTGCTTGGTGCACACGGTCCCTCCGCCCTAAGCAGACTCCGCACCCCAGCAGCTGTGGCCCTGGGAGAGCGGCCTCTGGCTGGGGAGGGAGGTGCCACACGCCACTGTCAGTCGGCCGTCCCGCCCGTCACCGCTCCGGTAGATCCGTGATGTCTTTGCCAGACTTGTTCCTCCCTATCTGGGTCTAAATAATGGATAGAAACCAATTTATCTGAATATAGGAAGCATATACCTACTTGTAATTTCTAACTTCTTATGTTTCAAAAGAAATCCTCCAGTGTGAGATATATAAATATATTTAATGGTGTCAGATTAAACTTTTGATTTCACCTTTGAATGGTCTTTATTTGGGGAGGAAGGGCCACCTCCCTGCCCATCCGCGCTCCGGAGGGAGGGTGCCGAGGTAGCCGAGGCAGGCTGGGGCCCTTCCCAGAATCCCACGCCGTGTTGGCAGGGCCTGCCGCGCGCTAAGGGCCAGAGCGTCCGGGAGGGCTCAGTCTCACAGTGACCTCACGGCCGCGGTGACCCTGGGGCCACAGTCTGTGCCAAGTCACCTGCACCCTCTTCTCCTGCACGTCTGGCTGGTGTGAGCGCAGGGGGGCTGCGGTGGCCCTTCCCTCCCTGCCCTGGGCTCCCCCGTCATCCAGGTGGGCGCACAGGGGCACGCCTCCCCCAACAGGACACACCTGGGGACACTGGGGACGGTTCGCCCTGACAGAGGGACTGGTGCGGGGGAGGGGAGGGCGCGGTGGCTCGTCCCAGGTCTGGCTGGGTGACCATCGGTCACATCCATCCCTCTGATCCCCCTTCCCCGGCTTGCCTCACGTTCGAGTCCTGCCTGGGCGTCGGCGGGCTTGTGCATCCCGCACGCAGTGAAGTCACGGGCGTGGGGCATCACACGGGGAGGCTTGAGGGTCACGTGTCAGATGTGCCTGAGAGACCACAACGCCAGGGAAGGGTCCCTCCCGCCGTGAACAGCTAGGACTGTTGGACAAAACACACTTTGACCACGTGCTGCCTCCCGGCTCTAAAGCAAGTCAGGACCGAGGAAACCCGTGGGCGTGGGCGCAGTGTCCATGCTGCACGCCCGAGAGGCGCCGCCGCTGCTTGGATCCCGCGTAGGCGGCCGCTGAGCCGGTGTGCTCGCCAGCGGTCAGGAGCGGCTCTCTGGTACGGGACACAGGGAGGCGCTGAGGGGCCCTGAGATGTGCGCTCAGCAGCTGCAGGAATGACACGCCCGGTCCTCTGTGTCAGCAGGGCCACGCGGCCAGCCGCTGCTCACCGACGCGTCCGCGGAGTGCCTGCGTCCGAGCTTCCCCGCTCGTCTGACTCCTCGCGGGGGGGGGGGGGGGCATGGTTGCTGGACGCGGGGGGGGGGGCTGTGCCCTCAATTCCTTCGTGCTGCTCGCGGTGTGGAGCCTTCGACAGCTCCCACTTCTGCATTAGCGACCTCTCCTCCATCGCTCGCTGGACAGTTGTCTCGGCAGCGTCTGCCACGTGAGTGCCCCGCCGTGAGTGATTTCAACGAGCGAAGGGCGGTGAGGGGGCAGCAGGCGGACGGGTGGGGGCGGGGGGAGCACAGCCGCTAGAGAGGGCGGCGGATGGAGTCAAAGGAAGTAGGAAGTGGCCACCTGCGTATTAATATGACTTTTTGGTTAATATAGCTTTTAATGGTGCCTGTATTTAACCCCAGCTCATAACACCCCTGCAGGCCACCCTCCCTTCCCGGGAGCCGCACGGAGAAGAATCTGGAGAATGCCCGGCCCAGCTGTCCTGCTGGAAGAGGAAGGGGTCCCGAGGCAGGAGGGTGGGGGCCAGTCCGCCTCCCGCCTCAGCACAGGAAGCCCAAACTGAAAACGGAGGGTCCAAGTAGGACGCAAGCCCAGGGGGACCCTCGGGTGCCAGCATCAGTGAAGGCAGAACCAGCCGGGGCGGGGGCGGGAGGGGGGGACTCCCACGTCCCCAGAGAGACGCACCCGTGATGATCTGCTCCCCAAGACCGTCACACAGCGCACAAGGGACAGGACGGTGCAGGAAGACACGTCACATGGGGGGGGAGGGGGGGGCAGACCGGACGCCACAGAAGGGCAATAAAAGGAGTTTGAACTTTTCAAATGGCAGATAACAGCGTGCCTGGAAGGAAGTGGGTTTGGGAAAGAACCCGACGCAACGTCTAAAAATGACACCCAAAGGGACCCACTGCTTAGAAATGGGGGAAGGCACGTTCACCATACAAGCTGAGGTGCAGAAGCTGGCTGCGCGGCTGAAGGCTGAGTAGGGGCCTGAAGACCCGCTTGTGCAGGGAGAGCGTGCAGGAAACAGGGCGGAGCCAGCATTCCGGAAGGAAGCAGAACGGGTGCCAGGGCACCCTGGGGACCTTCACCGCGTCACAGATGCGCCCCAAATGTGCCCTGGCAGGAAGCGCTCTGACCCTGGGTCCCAGCCCCAGTGGCCGCGGACACTGCTGGGGGTCATTGCTATCAAGACTGCGCTGCATGGCCTTCTGGACTGACCAGGGATGTGCACTTAGTGTGCACCAGGTGTATACCCCTGGTCCTGAGGGGCTTCAAGATCAGCTGGAAGACAGGGGCTGTGGGAGCTCAAGAGAACCATGTGTGTGCTCACCTGGACGCTCTCCGGGTGGCAGTGAGCTCACAGTGAGGGGTGAGCGCAGTCCCCACCTTCCTGAGGCTCTGGATTCACCCACCAGAACGCCCGCCCCTCCCCGGTCACCTCCTGAGACCGTGTCTGGGGTGGTCCTAACTATCCTCCGTCAACACCAGGGCTTCACCGGCAAGTGATTCGGGGGATGCATTTTTATGGAATTGCTGCTTGAGACTATGGGTTTTTTTAATAAAAACCGTTAGGTGTAATCTTCCAGAAAGCAAACGGAAGTGCCGTTTACCGCCATTCTATAGCCTGATTAATTCAGGAATCACGCAATGCCTCTCTCCCTTTTTTTAATTTTTAATGTTTTATTTATTTCTGAGAGAGAGACAGCGTGAGCAGGGGAGGGTCAGAGAGAGAGGGACTCACAGACTCCGAAGCAGTTCCAGGCTCTGAGCTGTCAGCACAGAGCCTGACGCGGGGCTCGAACGCAGGAACCGTGAGATCCTGACCTGAGGCGGGACCCTTAACCGACTGAGCCCCCGGGCGCCCCACACGCCTCTCTTAACAGCAAGACGGGAAATCCGCGTGTATTGGAACTCGGTTCTTTGCGAACCCTTGGAAATACGCACGCGTGTGCTCACACCCACGCCTCTAGTAAAGTCCTGGGAGCGCGCGGGTCCTGGGGTCACAGCCGGACCCCCACCCCACCCCCGGGGCCGCGGCAACCGCCCCCGCTCAGACCCCGAGCCCCCTCACCGGCGGCGGGGGCAGCGCCCCGCCAGCTCTGGGGGGAGGGACGGCGACAGGACGCGCGCTGCGTAGGCGGAGCGCTAATGAAACCTTCGTGATTAGCCGAATAGGCACGAGTTCAAAGACGAGTTTTCGGAACGGAAAATTGGAATTTGCTTTCACCTTTGCTCCTAAACCCGGGCCGGCCTCCTTCTATTCCGGGCATGTGTTCAGGAAGTGGCCTTAGCTGTTTGTTAGACAGCACGTGCTGAGTGTCACCTGCTTTATACGGTGGCTGCAGGTGGGAAAGAGGCTCCCTGCCTGGTGCTCTGGCCCGGGGCGGGGAAGGGACGCGGGCCCGGTGCCCGGGGCGGGGCGGGGCCAGGGGGCGGGGCCAGAGAGGGGCGGAGCGGGCTAGAGAGGGCGGGGCGGGGCTAGAGAGGGCGGGGCCGGGAAGGGACGCGGGGCCGGTGCCCGGGGCGGGACGGGGCCAGAGGGGGCGGGGCTATGTATGGGAGGGGCGGGGCCAGGTGGCGGGGCGGAGCCATGGGCGGGGCCCGTGAGGGGCGGAGCGGGCTAGAGAGGGCGGGGCGGGGAAGGGACGTGGGGCCCGTGCCCGGGGCGGGGCGGGGCCAGAGGGGGGCGGGGCGGGGCTAGAGGGCGGT